CTCTAACATTCAGAAAGGTATAGGTTCAAGAATACCGGGTACAAAATATTTGCTTCCTCTCAATCTTTCATTCTTCCCTCTCCACAGAGTTGGTTTAGAATTTCTTTTATAAGATTAGGGGAAGGATAAGTGTATCAATCAAACATCTGTTTTCTCTTTCTTTGGAGTTGTCTGATTGCAAGTCTACCTGTTCTTGCTGTCTGAAGCTATGTAGTAAGTAAACTCTCTATCGTAAGGTTTCCCTGCCATGATTTGGTTACAGAAACCAATCTAATTAAAAAGGTAGTTTGAAGACTTCAGGTCTAAGCTTTACCAGTATTCAGCTATACATTAATCTCTAAGTGATTCTAGTATCTACTTTTCAAACAGAACTGATAAGTGTAGTGTCTCCTCAAACCCCCAATGGTATGTTGCAGAAGTTCTCTCTCACTCCAGGGGGCTTAGCATTGTAAGTAAGTATTTAAAGCTTTCATGCTTAACTGCATTGATCAGCTACTTGATGGCATTATGCACTGTTTTATTACACAACTTTTTCAATTTCAAGACTACAAAGCATTCCTCCCACTTTCTTCGTGTGTGATCATTATTTTGAATATGGAACACTTCATGAATTTACATGTCATCCTTGCACAGGGACATGCTAATTTTCTATCATTCCAATTTTAGTATAGGTGTTGCTGAAGTAAGCACTTCTTGTATTATTTTGAGGTAACTTTGTTTTCTCCTTCCTGTTTGAAGTTTTTTCTTTGGCAGATAAGATGCAATTATCTTGGCTGGTGTGGAGCATTGACCTTGGGGAATTAGGTCATATTAGAAAGTTTGGTTAATCCAAAAACATACTGCCATGAGGGTAATTCTGACTAATTTCCGAAGCTGTCAATCCTCATCTTTCTCCTGTGGAACAGCTAATGGAGTAGAACCCCTGACCCTTCAGTGAACAGTTGAATGCTTGCCCAAGAATACATTCAGGGATTTTTGCATCCATGTTCATTAGGCATATTGGTCTGTAATTCTCAATTCTTGTGGGATCCTTGCCCGGTTTTGGTATCAGAGTTATACTTGCTTCATAGAAGGAGTTTGGGAGGTTTCCATCTTTTTCTATGTTCTGGAAGAGTTTGTGTAGGATTGGTGTTAGTTCTTCCCTAAATGCTTGGTAGAATTCTCCAGTGAAGCCATCTGGTCCAGGG